ATTAACTGTGTGACCACAGGCACCTTTTTTTTCTCCACCTGGAAAATGATAAAGAGGCCTACCTTGCAGGATGTCTCAAGGCCTGTGGTTAATGCATGCTGCATGGTCAGTACTTTGTAAGCACTCACTAACTTGGAGCCATAACCTTTTTTTCCTCCTGAAATCCTTATTTATGTAATATTAGAGATATCTTTTAGGCATATAGCTGCTAGATTTTTGGTTCTTAATACATTCTTTCAAAAAATATCTAAAATTCACTCTGCCCACCAAAGAAATCCTATGGCCAACCTGTCATTCAGACTTAAAGAATTCAGCAGAGACTCCAAAAGATGCCAGTGTTCCAAAGCAGCCATCCTCCCATAGGTCCTTGCACACTTCACATTTTATTTTTTCTCCTGAAGACTTATCATGTAAAAAGGAACAATCTTCTAAGAAACTCTTAGACCCCGCATTTTATTTGACTTAATGGTATGGGACTCTCATGTAAAATGTGACAAGGATGTTTCTTTTAACCTCTGTGGATTCATATTTTTACAACCATGGTGCCAAATTCAACAATCACTCTGACTCTATGAAAAGAATTTGACACCCACACATTTATTTTCATTTTTTGGTCCCATCACAATTCATGAATATATTCAGCAGATATTTCATTTGCATGTAAGGCTCTGAGTGAACCTTCAGGGCTACAAAGATGAATAAAAATGTTTCTTCCCCAAAGAACTTTAGCGGTAGAGACATAAATGGGCGTGCACACACATACATAGTACATATACGCTCAACACTCACAATAAAAAGGAAAAAGTGATAAACAGAAAAAATAATTATGTAGGTGAAGAAAATGTTATAAAGGCAGGAATAAACTAAAAAATACTCCTCATTTCTAGGAGAAATAAAGTTAGATAATTACTCATAAAAAATAGAACAAGCTGCTTTGTTTCCACTTCAACAAAATAATTACTGGATCAAAACTGCTTGTTAAACTGTGAACCAACAGTTTAATAAACAAGATGTGCTTTCATGTGCGATTTTATTCCTGGAACCTATCATTGTTTACCGATTATAACATTTCTTATGAGGTAATGACAAAAATCTATGATGACTACGTATTACTGAAGTACAGGTTGATTGTATTTCTGTTAAACTGCTATGAATTGACTGCCATTGTAATTAAAGTTTTTTTTCTCAAACCAGATAATGTCTTCCATGCATTTAGCCTTCAACTTAATTAATGGATGAATGAGGATGAGTCCTAGGTTTTTGTTTTTTTTTTTTTTTTTGCATTGAACACTATTGCCTTTGAAATTGGCTGTCAGAGGAGTTGCATGTATGTTGTATAACATACACGAAAAAGCAGAGACTAACTTAAAACATTATGTCTGTCTAAACAGAAACGAAGGGACCATGTCAAAGCCCAAATTGTCCTTGTAATGTAGATGCTTAATGGTCAATAGTAATGAATGATTTTTACATAAACTGTTTGCCTAGAGCAATAATACAGGTTCAACTCAATAACCATTTTTGAGCCTGTTACGATAACATGTTTGTGTCGCCTTTACATTTTAAAACACTCATTTGAGTATACAACAACTCTCTGAAAGATGTTATTTTCATGCTCATCTTTTAGAGAAGAAAGCTATAGTTAATAGGATTAGTAATTAACAGAATTATGGATCTTAAATTCTATATCGTTTCTAATAGCTTGTATTATCTCTTCTACACACAAGGCATTCAGTAAGGGGTACAGAGCAAATCAAACTATTTCTTGATAACTGACTTGTATTGCACTTTTCACTTTACAAAAGATTAACATCTATATTATCCCCTTTGAGTGTGACAATGACCTTTTGAGGCAATAGCTCTAGTATTAGAGAAACTTAAACACCACAGAGAGAAGGATAAGACAAGAGGAGACTAACTATAAGACAACGTTTGATTTGGGCTTTGGTTGATCAGGGAAGAAGGGATGTCATTCAGTTTAGGAAGATAAGGAGAGTCAGCATGGATTTCAAACATAACTGCAACAAATTGATACACAAAGCCAAATGAGGGCTAGGCATCTTTAAATTCTGATCCCACATGGGTTCTCTGAAAATCTTCTGTGGTTCTTTGGCCAAAAATTTTCCAGAGGGGGAAAATAAGAATATTACTTTCAACATTAAAAGCGAGGGTTTCCAGAGAACAAATACTTCTGAAAATCATTAGAGAAGAAATGTATATGTCAAGCCAAATGAATTTCCAAAATAATATTAATCCTAAGCAAAAGTACAGTTGTGTATTATGACAAAAGAATAAACATAATGACCTAAAATCCAGAAAGTCTGGCTTTAGGAAAAGTTATATGATACATTTTTCACTGTATAGGATAATAATTGTCCAATCCCAAATGCCCATTCCTCTCTCATTCCTGCAATATCAGCACCAGGTCATGACAGCAGTGGTATTTTGAACAGGTGGTAACCTAGAGTGGCAAAAAGGGAGGGGTCAAATGATAAACACAAAAATCACTCTAAGGAGAAAGGCTGAAGGATGGAAACCAGAGTTGCCAGATGCATTGTGCTGTCCGAAGGGTCAGCCATAGTAGAGGCTATCAGGTAGAGCATGGAATGTGATCAATAGCAGAGATTCAAAACGTCAGTGCTCAAACTAGTCTGCCCATCACAGTTTTTTCTACATTGGTGCTGGTCATGAATGTGTAGATATGTTAAAGGTCAAGAACTACAGAGGTCAGTGATAGGTGGAAAGAAGGTGAGATGACTAAAAACTAGCAATTTTCAGTAACAGTTAAGTTCAGCATGTGGTCTGTATCTGTGTCTCTTGCCTGATTTGCCTTCCTTTTAATCCAGAGACTTGGGTAATCTTCTCCCAATTAAACTTTTTGGTTAAGTTTTACAATAATCACTTTAAAGTCTTCATAAGACTTTCTATGCTAAAAGTGATGTAGATAAGACATCAGAGAAGAAGGAATCTAAGCTACTTGCTTTCATCAGTACACTCACATATATGAAGATAAAAAGTGTAGCTTTAAAAGCAGAATTTACATCATCACTACAGTAGTTATGCTGATCTGTGGAAAAAAGCAAAACTGACAAGTTGATAGAAAAACATCATGAAATGTATAGTCTGTGTCTATATATGGGAAGTAAATGAAGAAAAAGACCTTAGGTTTTGTCATTTTAAGTTGCCTGTAGTAATTATTTTTAGCCTTTTTGGACCTACCAGCTCTTCTCCTCCTCTGAAATGGAGCCTCAGCCCCACAAGTTTTTCAGTTATTCCTGATCTTACCAGCCCTCTTGTTCCATGCCTACTGGTGTTGTTATCCTGACACTTTCACAGTGAGGAACACACAGTCTCCTTTTTGTATGTAACAGTACACATTTATGTAGTCCTTCATAGTATGTAAAACATTTCCAAAATAGAAGCTCTGTTAATCCTCACAGCCAACCCCAGAGGTATATCAAAGCTTTTATACAGATGAGGAAAGGTTGACCTAATACATTTAAAGGACCTGACCGAGTGGCCAGGCCCAATGCACATGATTCCACTGGCAAGTAGCTAAGCTAGAACTAGAATGCTGTCCTCTGACAGCAGGACCAGAGCACAACCCTATCCTTCTGCCTTATTTTCAATACATAAACTTTATTATTTGGAGAATTAAACTGCAAAAATACATGTATTTACACAAGTAACTATTACAATTTTAAACAATTTGTAGAAGAGGATACCTGCTTATTTATACATCATTTTTATCAGTTTGTTGATTTACATGTTACTTGTATTTGAAAAGATTTGTGCTGAGTCAAAATATATGTATATCAATGCTTACTTTCTCTTTAACTCACATTTTGAAAAAGACTAGGAATGAACATCCCTCAATTTATTTGGCTCTATAAACTGTCTTTATTGCCATAAAAATATAACTATATAAGCTTAAAAGGTAGCATCTCTTAAAATTCAAATCAAATAATGGGATAATTATCTGATAAAATTACAATGATCGAAATGAGTGAAAATCACCCAGCTTTTGAGATAGCCATGTATACATGGGAATAAGTTAAGAGAAGGAGGTACAGTAACTGATCTTATTTATTCAATACCCAGTGCTTCTTGATATTTTCATAGGAGATGAAAACCAACCACTAGGGGAAATATTTATTATGTTGTCAGCATAATTCCCATCAGAGTGAATTTCTGTAAATGGAGCATGCACACCCTGGTAATTGTAGGGAATTCTGTTAATGTAGAATGTAACTTCATCTGTTGAGCACTTATTATTTGCAAATAACTCTACTAAACACTATTCCAAACCCTGGAAGTTAAGTAGTTATCCTAATTATATGGATGAAGAAACTGAGGCACAATAAAGGTTAACCACTTTGGCTTTGCATAACAAAGTTAGTAAATCTAACACCAGAAATTTATTCGTAACCACTGCAGTTAACCATATCTGCCAGACTCTAGTCTAGAATCTAGACTCTAAAATTTCAAATTATTGTTCACATAGACAAGTTGTCTGAAAGACAACACATGTGCTTTTGTACTTTTTTTTCCTTGGGGAATTTTTGTCTTTTTCAATTAAGTTTGAACTTGTCAATGAGCTTTCTTCATCTTCCCTCGTTCAGTGAACAAGTTCTATGTTTTATGTGATTTTTACCCTCTGTTTTTGTTATATTTTTTCCTCTAAGAGTATATCCCTATTAGAAAAGAATATATATAGCTGGAAAGATCCATCTATTTATGTAAATATTTATTTCTTTATATACTAGTATCATCTAGATTTCCTAATTTTTGCTAATTCCATTTAAAAGTAAACATACTTCCATGAAAATGCACACAGATTAGGCACGTAATTTACATGACTGAATAAATTCAACCAGAACATAATATGACCTTATCCTCCTCACACAGAATTTACCCTTTCATAGACTGTTTTTTCATGGTTTATCCAAATGGCTCATGAGCAACCCAAGGTAGTAGTCATTTGCTTTCTCCCCCACCAGAAGCTCAGAAGAAGCAATTGGAAGAGAGTATAGAGCTGATCCAAGATGAATGTGTGTCAGAGAATGCAGATCACTCTACAGAGGAGCCTGCTGAAGGAGGGCCAGATGCGGATGGAGAAGAGATGACTGATGGGATAGAGGAGGACTTCGATGAAGATGGGGGTCATGAGCTGGTAGGAACTAAACATTTGGTGTTCACACACTTTGGTAACAGCACCAGCATGTCAGCCACTCATTCATTCTAAAATAAGGATAAAATATCTGGGGGTTATTTATTTCTTATATGCATATATGTAAGGCAACATCACTACAGTGCTTTGCACATAATAAGTGCTCAATACATTTCTGCCAACTTAAAATATGACCAAGTAAGTTAATGGACAGTTGAAATATTATATATGAGATTAGTTATATTTGAAGTTCCAAATGAAAGGTTCTCTCTTCTGGATGCTCCATCATAAAAGGAATCTTGCATTTGTGCAATTATATGTGAACTACATGTGGATATAATATCCTGGCAATGAATGACCATCTACTGGAAGATACATGGCTCCCTCTCTCACTCAATAGTATCCCTCAGTGATGATAATTGTCTTTACTAGTTGTATGGCCAACGGTTGTTTCTACAGTCTGCAGACTAAGATGACCCTTGGTATATGGCCAGTTTGCCATCATCAGTGCTAGTGCTGCTTGATAACCAGTTTTTATGAGCTAAGGATTTAGCCAAGACTTGATTCTTTATGTGTTTTATTTTCCCAACGTTGTAATCATACTACTCATTTCTGATGTCCTTACCTATATACTCACACCAAGGACTTGGTAAATCTATGCTGATGAAGATGCGGTCTCTCATATTTTATCATCCATGAAACTAAACATACTATTTTAAAGGGATCGACTAATAAAAATGATGAGAGGGCAAGTGTGAGTGTGTGTGTGTGTGTGTGTGTGTGTTGCCAATTCTCAAATATCTCTGTGGACTGACCATATTAAACTTGACTTATCCCAGGTAATATCAGATTCCAATTTGTTAACAATACTTACAGTTACTTAACTAATTTTGACATGGTGGTCGTTGTTTTGGCATGGTAACCACTCTGTCAGTAATTTCATTTATGGAGCTCTGTATTGATTTTTTTAACATTCCAGTTCTGTTTAAATTGCATGGAACCTTCATTTAAACTTTTCAAATATGAGTCTTTAATAACCACCCTTATTTCTCCAAAAGCCTGCCTCAGTTTGAAGGGCTTTGGTTACTTTTTGAATGGTTTTGATTTCAGAAATCTATTGAGAGGGACTAGAATGAAGAACTTAACAACTTTTTCAGCTTCTCCTCAGGCCAGACTCTAATTCAATAACTTAATTTCCTCAGCCCATTCTAAGCAGACTTTTGATTTCACCATTCTATTGTGACTGCTCTTGCCAGGGTCTCTGGAGCCCTCCATGTTCCCATTTCCATTCGTTACCTCTCTGTCCT